AAATTATTAGTATAATCTGAATATTATTTTACATTATTAAATTTGGCTTCTCTAACATATAATTGAATATTATTGCTTAAATATTTGCCATCCTATTATTAACTTTTCCAATAATACTTACTTTCTCTTTCAATCTAAATTTTCTACCTTCCAAAATTAATAATTTCTATACTTTTTCTGCTCCACTAACTACTACATATCCTTTTGTGGCTTACTTCTATACTTTTTTACATTCTTCAATCTCACACTACTATAAATCACATCTCTCTAATATATAATTGATAATTTAGATAGGTACTGTATTAGATGGTAGATTTTATATTTCAACAACTAAAAATTTACATTCATAAATATACCAAATTTTTATTTAGAATTGTCTGGAATACTATCTAAATATTTTTATTTCTTTTTGATTTCTCTTTCAATAGATATACCACCCTTATAACCACCAGATATTTTATATCCAGTCATATTATAAAAATTATAATCTTTATCAAAATATCCTGCTGGTTCTCCATCTCTATCATAATAATTTAATTCTTTATCAACCCAACCACCATAATCATCAAGTATATAAATATCAGATTAATTATCAGATTATGCAATTCTAAATCCTTCACCTTCAAAACCATCATATTCAATATATTTATCAAAAAGTGCTTAATTATGAGATGGTTTTTGTGTCATTAATATAATAAATAATATATTATTATTATATTTAACAATTACTATCATCAAATACTTATCTGATTAATGAATTAGTACTTATATTATGTTTTATTAGTCACTTTTTAACAATATATATGGTATTGTACTGATCATAAATTTTTATAAAATAAATAATATTAATGAAGTCTAAATAAGTGATACCCAAGGGGAAACATGCTTTTGATTGTAATGGATAAACCTTTATTGTTGATGATAAATATCAATTTATAAAGTAAATTGGACATGGAGCTTATGGAGTAGTGTGTTCAGCTTTAAATAAGAAGAGTCAATAATTGGTGGCAATCAAAAAAATATCAGATGCTTTTTCAGATCTAATTGATGCTAAAAGAATAGTGCGTGAAATAAAATTATTAAGTATTAAGCATATAAATATGATTGAATAGAATTCTTTGATCATGAGAATATCGTTTCATTACTTGATTTACAAAGACCAGAACATCCATAAAATTATAAAGACATATATATAATTACTGATCTTATGGAAACAGATCTACATAGAGTTATTTATTCAAAACAAGAATTAACAGATGAGCATATTTAATATTTTCTTTATTAAGCCTTAAGAGGATTATTGTATATTCACTCAGCCAACATTATCCATAGAGATCTTAAACCAAGCAATTTATTATTAAATAAGAATTGTGATTTGAAAATTTGTGATTTTGGCTTAGCTCGTGGTTATGAAGATGAAAGTGAATTTAAAACTGAGTATCAATGATGGATTTATTTAGATATGTAGTTACTCGATGGTATAGAGCACCTGAAGTTATATTGAATGCTTCTGAATATAATAAATCAGTTGATATTTATGCTTTGGGTTGTATAATGGCAGAATTATTAGGTAGACAACCACTCTTTCCTGGTGAAGATTATCTAGATTAAGTATAAAGAATAATCTAAGTATTGGGCACTCCTACCAATGAAGATGTTAGATTCATTGGAAATAAGAATGCACTTACTTATTTGAAGAGTTTGCCAAAGAAACCAAAATAATAATGGAAAAACCTATATCCTCATGCTTAACCATTAGCTTTAGATTTATTAGATAAAATGGTTACTTTCAATCCAGATAAGCGTTTGACAGTTTAGGAGTGTCTAGCACATCCATATTTTGAAGGATTACATAATCCAGAAGAAGAACCTATTTGTGAATGTACATTTGATTGGGGATGGGATAGTTTCAAACCTACCGAAGCTATACTAAAGTAAATGGTATATGAGGAATCATTGTCATTTCATCCACTTAAGTGATTTATTTTAATTAATATAACATGGATCTAAGTTCCTAACTAAATTAGATGAAATTTATAAAAGGTCTTGATTTTCGAAAGAATCTTATAGACAATGGACATTTAGGCCAAGGCAACAATATGGTATATAATGTTTCAGTCAATGGTAAAATGTATGCACTAAAAGTAAAACATTCTTATTTATTAAGTAAGTAATAATGAATTCGTCCAACATTGAAAATGAAATCAAAATTATGTAATCATTATCCAACTCTTAATATGTGATCAATCTTATTGATTATATGATATTAGAAACAGTCTCTTAAGATAAATATACTTAAAATCAGTAATTTGTATATTTGCTGATGGAAAAGGGTTAGTAGAATCTTGAGTAATATCTTAAATAAAGAGAGCAGTAATATTTAGAAGTTGAAGAATTGCATAAAATATTGGAATAATTATTAAATATATTTGAAGATCTTTAACAAAAAAACATAGCTCATCGAGATATAAAATTAGTTAATATTCTAATTATGGAACCATTTTAACTCAAAGCATGTGATGTTGGATGCAGTTCTCAAATAGAAACTATTTAAACTATCAGTGTAGTAGGTACAAAGTCTTATTTAGCTCCTGAATTATTGAATGCTGAAACTCATAGACTTAAACATAATCCCTTTAAAAGTGATGTTTATTCTTTGGGATTATGCTTTCTATATATAGTTACTTTATAATTATGGAATACAAGATAAATAGTTAGTTCTTAAATTGAAGAAGAAATAATAGCAGATTATTTAAGACATGTTAAAAGAATTACTGCTGATGATAATATTATTATCTCAATCCTTAAAAAAATGTTATAAATAAATCCAAATAATCGACCTGATTTTATTGAGTTAAAATAGATTTATATATAATTGAAAGAAAATCAAAATCAAAAGACTAATTTATCTAAAGGAACTACATTTGAATCCTTTGAATCACCTAAAAAGACTCCTTTGTAATTTGATTATCTTTCACCTGATATTGTAGTTAATAGAAGTAGAAATACAGGATCCAATTTTTATAAAGAAGAAAGATAAAAATCAGTAAGAAATCTACCATCCAATTTAAGTAATTCAAAAAAATAAAAATCTTAAGCTAATTTATTATCAGAAACAACAAGAAAATAATAAATAAACAAATCACCTAAAAATTAATCTACTACTAATTTATAATTAAAGGATACATAATAATTCTTTAGTAATAAACCACCTACACCAAATTCACTTAAATTTACATAATCTACTAAGGCTAAATCCTTTTAAAGTTCTGGATCACCAAATCATACTCAAACTAATTTCTAACAAAGACAATTCTCTAAATTTCATCAATCTGTAATAGAAAATAAGAAAGTTCATACTGAAAGCTTTTCTTAGACTATGCCAACAATTTAAACAAGTATGTTAGCTGAATTAAAACCTTATGATGATTTCTTATATTGCAATTATGAAGACTTAAATAATTTATACCAATTTTAAAATTATGTATGTCTTTTTTCAAATGGATAAAAATCTAATATAAAAAAATGTTAATTACCTAATAGTTGTAAATTATTAAATTTAAAACTCAATAATTAAACTCCAGAACTTCACTTATCTACAATAAATGATATACAAATATTAATTCTTGAATTAATTGATGATTGTAATGAAAAAAATCTTAATTATAAATGGTCTGAAAATTTAGGTTCTATGTACTTTTAAGCAATAACATCACTTGAAATTATTGTTAATACTCAATAACCTTAAACTAATAATATTATATAATTTCTTACTAAAATATAGCATATCCCTAAAATTAAATTAATATATCGATCTGAAATATCAGAATAAGATCACAGAACGATTATGTGGAAATTAAGTAAATATAATTGTACTTCCTTTGATTTCAGAATACCTAATATTAAATTGAATTTAACCTAAATTTCTTAATAATGGTAATTTAATTAATCTTTGGAAGAATTATCATTAGATTATGAAGATTGTGATATACATTAAACATTTTCATTCCTTGTTACATCAATAAGAACAGTTTTGTTCAAGAAGTTTTATATTAATTTAACAAAATTACAATCTAAAAATTCAGAAATAAGTTTAATGCTTGAATATTTAGGATCTAAATATTTATTAAAAGATTTAACATTAATTATGGATTAAATTACAAATTATGATAAAATGGTATAAGAGAAACTCAAACATAATATATCTAAACTTAAAAATTTAGAAAAACTCTATATATCTATTATTGGTAATAACATTAATTTTGAATTTTTTGAAAAACTCTTTAATATTTTTGAATAACTCAAAGAACTTAAGATAATAATTTTAAGGATTGATAGGATATTTGAAAAACAAAAAATAAGAGAACTTAAAAAGATATTTCCTTTTTTAAATCCTTTTATTTTATAGTTTTATGGTACAAATAAAACATTAACAATTATTATGCATAACAATGAAGTAAAAAAATTATAAGATTATGGAACCACTAAATGTAATTAAGGAAAATAAGTTAAATTGAGTTAGATGTACGAATGCCTAAAATGTTCTAAAGCTCATTCTTTTTTTTTAAAACATTAATTTCAAATATGTAGTACATGTGTTACAAATTGTCATTCTAAATGTGATAACTTTAACTTGAATAATAATGAAGCAATAACAGTTAGTTCAGATTCTTAATTATAATGCTAAAATATAGTAAATATAATTAAGAAGAATCACACTTTTTTTGAATCAAATGACACAAGAGATTTTAAATGTTACTGTAATCTATTGGGAACATGTACTCAAGCAATATGCAATTAGGATAGAAATAGAAATGAGATTTAATATAAGTATATAGTTATATTATTTTAAGATGCAAAACATGCAATAAAATAATATGTCGAATGTGCTCTTTAGATTGTCATTCTTGTCATACCAGTAAAGAGATGTATATAAATAACTTTAGATGTGAATGTGATTGTGATAAACATATATGAAATAAAACAAAATGTAATTAATTTCATATTAATCTAAATCCAATTAAATATCTTTTGGATAAAACTTATGTTAGTTCTTTTGAAGTACATATTTTTTTAATTGTACTACTAGTCAATTAATTATAAATTAACAACATACAAGGTCTAATAATAATTAATAATTTATACTCAATTATAATTTGTAAGTCTTTATTATTAATTTCAATTTCTTTTATCTATGAACTCAAAATACCATTATTAATATGTTCTTCTGTAATTTCCATAGGTTACTCAGTAATTTCTGGTAAATTTAATTTAATATTTGTTCCCTTTTTAAAATCTTTATAATCAAAAGCCTCTGGAGGCATATCAAAATTAGGAACAACATATTAATCAAGAATCTATTACATATTATTGTTATTTAACAAAACAAATATTGAATCCAATTCTTAAAGAGTTGGAGAATACATTTTAATTATTTTTTATGATTTTTTCTCTCTTATTAATATTTAAATAGGTAAAAAATCACATGTATAATAAGTATTTTCAAAATTTACTACTTTTCTAATAATTTTTCTTTATAAAATCTTTTCAGGAAATTCATGTTTTTCTATAAAAATATTATAATTTACCATCAATAATCAGAATACCTAATTCTTTATGAATTGGCAATCCAGTTTAAATTATATTTTATATAGCATTATCTTGATTATTAGGTATTTTATCTATTTGAATATCTGATTATGAAATTTATTATTAAGATTGTGGTTCATTTAATTCTTTTAAAATAAGTCCATCATCAGGTTTACTTTATATATATTATTGCAATTTTTCATGATCAAATTATTCAACAAATGATTGCATTTCAAAGAAATTATTTTTAACTATATCAAAAAGCTTTTAAGGAGACAATTCAATCGTTTATATATGTTAGTACTCTTATTAATATAATTGAATAATTGGAAAATAAATTCTGAAAAATCCTTAACCAGATTAATTTTTAATTACAACAACTCTTTGAAATTCTTCTGTCTCAAATTACTTAACTTTATATTTCAATCTATTTAAACCCTTTTACTTTAATGCAACTGTATTTCTTTCCAATAATTATAAGTTTTTTTAGAAGAAATCTAAGGGATCTGTATGAGTATTAAATATTGCTAAAGCTATTTAAAAAGTTAATTAAAGAGGTTTAGTTGATTTTTTATTTACTTCATCTTCAAATTCCCTTATCCACTCTATTTCGAAAGATTTTATTAAAGCAAGTATGGACATCTTTTGATATTTGTAAATTTTTTTGTAATATGTTCTATCCTCTTTAGGAATAGATTCATTATCTTCTACATCAGTAAGTTCTGCAACTATATGTCTATTTAAAGGTTCTAAACGTGCAGTAGAATGACCAAATTTTTGAGTATAATGAAATTTAGACAAACCTTAAAAACCTCTATCACAAGCAGCACCAAAATGTCTTGAACTAAAATCAAGACTATTAACAAGTCCTTCTATAAATTGTCTGTTTACTTTGAACAACTAATTGTTTTGAATTTGGAGTCTGTTATAAGATGGAACTTCTTTGTATAAGAGGTAACATTTTGCTTTCATTATGACTAAATTTGCTTTATGTATTCCTTAGATAAGTAGGTTCAAGCAATTTATGTTGAGTAGTCATAAGTTTAGGAAGAATATCAAATTTTGTATGACTATTGTTGTTCATTAATATAATAATCAAGGAATAATGCCATTTGTCAATTTTTAAAAATCGTCATAGTATTTGGTATATCTATTGTTGGCACTTTGGGAAACTAATTTATGTACATGTTCCTCAAGTTGTTATTCATTAAGTTCTAATTTGAATCTATCTTTGAAGGTTTTCATATCAAATTTTTCTAAACATGGTAATTCATTATCAATTTTCATGGCTTCTAAGATAAATGCAAATTTATCAACATTCTTTCTTAATTCCAAATAACCTAATAATAATTTGCTTTTGAATAATTAAAACATGCAACTTTCTTATCCATCAAGTAATTCAATATATTCTTTTGTTAATTTAAATGGGGCTGATTCAAATTTAATTCCACCAGGTGCAATAGTTAAGATGAATCCAAAATCAATATGTATTATATGACCTTGATTATCAATTAAAATATTTCCATTATGTCTATCCTTAATTTAGAATAGATATTAAAGTAAACTATAAGAAGTTAAACTTAATATAAAATTAAGTTATGCTTCTTCAAAATTATCTCCATAGATATTATTAAAAATTTCTTTAAGAGTCATAGAAGGCATAGATTTTTTAAGTTAATCCATAGACATAGTATCATTACAGAATTCTAAAATTCCTGAATCAACTGAAGTGATTATGATATCATAAGATTTGACATATAAACCAACTTAAGTTAAAATCTATAAATTATAATAAAAATATAAATTACATCTTCAGAAACTTTAATAATTTACATCATCATTTATTCTTATCTCAAATCATCTCCTCCTTTTATTAATAAACTTCTTAAACAATAGGAATTAAATTGGCCATAAGGAGATAAAGATTTGATCACTTATCTTTTATCTTCCCATTATTCACTAAATGGACCACTTTTTAAATCATTTTAAGATGGAGATTATAATTATTATATTTCTTATTGTTGAATAATGTTTTTGGAATCATTTAACTATTTTTAAATCTTCTCAATTGTTCCTTTTTTATTTGGATATTCTAATTAATATAAATAATAAAAATACCATTAGCAATTTAATCAAGAAATGTAATATTATCTAATTCTTTATCACTATGTTTTAAATTATCTTCTTATTTAAATAAATCTTTAAAATCTTTCTCATATAATTATTTATTAGTATATGATTATATTTTATCAATACAACTTCTTCTACGTATAATTAATTCCTTTTTAAGAGGTGGAAATTGTTAATCAAATCTCTTTTTATTTTAATTAATAATCTATTACCTAGCTAACTAAATAAAAAAACCTATATCAATACCTTATCTTTATTTTCTTATAAGAAATCTTCAAATACAGTATAATCAAATTAATGCATAACATCAAATTCTAGAAAAGCTTAAGAATCTATTGATAATTATTTTTAAAGAGTGACAAGTTATTGTTCACGTTATTCATACTCATCCATATCAACAGTTTCAACTACTAATTTATATGGTACTCTCTTTTTAGTATTAAATGATTATGCTTCTGTATCAATAATGCGAACAACCATTTATGATCTACCTTTAAAAGGTAAGATAATTCCTTTGCAATATCTGATACCTGGATTATTACGACGAAAACTCTCTAAAGCTCTATTTCCTTTAATGAGATTTCGTCTCAAATATAGTTATCTTTCATTAAGAGGTACATTTTTAAGATGTAATGATAAGACAGTTAAACAAGTAACAAATCTTTGAATAGAATTGACATAATTTGATCTACTCTCTTTTTCTTGATATTGATTCTCTGAAATTCGATTTACCATTGCTTCTTCTATTTTTTAATCAAATACAGTGACACTATTTTCAGAGCTTTGTCTCTCTTTAAAAGTATAAGCTTCATAAGACCATTTGATCTAGTAATGAGAAATTTGAATATACTATCTCATAAAATGCTATATGTTCTGCACACTTATCCAATAAATACTCACCAAGTTGAGGCCATCTCTTTCTAGTGAATAGATAGCTAACTTAATAAAATCAAATCAATACACCAATCCTGATAAGTATGTACTAGTTTCATCATAATTTAATTAATTTAGTCTTTCTAAAAACTCCATTAAAGTTTATTCTTATACATCCTTACATATAATCTTTCTAAAGGATTCGTCAATGCTAATCTAAATATTTTAATTCATAAATTTATTCTTATATAATTAAATGAACCCTATTTTTATAAATTGATTATTCTATCTCATTCTTTAAATTCTTATATGATCAATTATACATAATTATTATGTTTAACGAGCCCAAAAGTCACATATAAAATATCATACTAAACCTATTTATTATATATTGTAGACATCATGTCTTCTCTAAAATATTATTAAATAATAATGAATATAAAAGGATTTGATTCTCCTTACATTTAAAGATTGACTGCCATTATTTTTCAATTCAATAGATCTCTTTTAATTATAAATTGCATTCAATTCACAAAATAGGATGGTATCTATGTAACCGATATAGAAATGCTTAAATAATAATCTTATCTTAAAGACTATGAAAATATATAAGAATTATGAATAAATGAACAGTTAAAAACATAAATGTTAAAATTAAATCATTAAAAAAGTGTGAATGTTATGAGATTTGTATTGTTATTTATATTAAAATTGAGTGTTTCATTTAATATATGAAATCATTTTACATAACTATAGTCAATTAGTGAAATATTTTATTAATTTTATGTCAAAAAAGAGATTAGATCGTTTGGATGCTGGATAATGTTCTACTGATCGTAGTCATCATAAAAATAATAACAGTACTGATCTCAATTTTGTAAATCCTTTATTTACTATTATTGTAGACTCTCCATTAGAGATTAAATAGCAATGTTGATGAGTAACTACAATCTAAAATTACATTATTTTCTAAATTCAAATAAAAAGAATTACCTTAAGTTAATGATTCTCTATAGGGGATGGCTCAAACATTATCTAAAGTGTCATTTAATGAAATTCAGCATCATCAATTATAAAGAGATTATGAAAAGATTAAAACAGAATTAGCATAATTTAGAGCATAATAAATCAAATTATATTCCACAATTACTAAATTGTAAAAAGACAATCAAATACTTATTGAGAAATTAAAATTTTATGATGAAGAAAAACTTAATTTATAAAGAAAAATTTAAATTGAACAAAAATAAAATGAAGAATTAACTAAAAAACTTAAAAGATCTGAATAACGAATTTAAATCATTCTAGAATCTAATATCATCTTTTAAAAGGATCAAATTAAAACTACACTTTTAGATACTTTACATGAAAATGAACATTATAAAATGGAAGCAATTCAAAAATAAAAGGATTTATAAAAGTATTATATAATTATCAATCTTAGACTTTAAATTAATAATAATAATCTAAATCATAAATTAAATAGATTAACTAATCGAATTGTTGCAGCATAAAGACATTAAACAGAATCTGAATTTATTGATCAAGATAAAATGGTAATTACATTCACAGAAATTCCAACAAACTTTATATTTAGACACATCTTTCAAAATATAGAATGTAAATAATTTATATCTACATCACTTGAATAAACTCCAGAATAATTTGGTTCTCATTTCAATCTTATACCTTAGGATCAAAAGAAAATTCATTTAATTTGGTTATTTAATCATATGGTGAATTATCGTGAATTTAGTTAACAGCATAATAATTTTATAATTAAATTGACTGATTTAATTGTCATTAAGTATTTAAAATGTTAAATTATTATTACTAGAACATATTCAGATTTATATGCATTCATTTAAAACATGTCCTAATTCTTAAAAGTATAAAGATTAACACTTTGGCTTAGAGATTATTGGACTGGATTTTTTGAAACAATATAAGAAGGGTAATCTTAAAAAATCATTTGTTCTAAAGGAGCATTTAAAGATTGTTTAGAATAAAGAGAAGCTGTCAATAGTAATATATATATAATTATTATATTAATAGAACTCACTGCACAAAGACATCTCTTATATTAAGATAGCAAAGGAGATGATATTTATCAAGAGAACACTTATCTATATCCATTAATTACTGATACTGTATTACCTGCTGGTCTTTTAGAAGTGTTTTAACCTACATAAAATAATTCATATTCAGATATATAATACTTTACTTCTTTATTAGGCACATTTGTAAAAATAGTAGTTTAAAAAATTGAAAATGATATTGTGATTTAAAATGTGGCAAAATAAAAAGATATTCTAATAAGTTAATTCTTATGTTTGATGTAATCTAATGATAAGTTATAATTCACAAACTCAGTAAAGGAAATGTAATCTAAACTATTATAAATTTCAACATGTGAAATTATCTTTATAGAAAATAATCAAATGTTCAAATATAATCCTTAAGGTTTATAATCTATTAGTTGTATTGCAGGAGTTTGTGGTCAGATTGCTTAAGATAAAAAACCTGCCTTCTTTTCCAATCTTACAAAATAAGTACATTATAATCAATTGATTGACATGTATACACTTGCTCCAGTGTATATTTATCCTATCCTTAGAGATAATGAATGTAAAGCTGTTATTGAATTAACATTGACTAATAAACAAATAGATCGTCATCGTTTTAGAGATCCATTAACTAGTTTGAATTAATAATCTAATTAAGCTCGAATGTTTTGTGAATGTGTGCAAACAGCCTATCTATGCAAATTTAATTGAATAAATTGATTAAATGTTATATAAATAACTTTATAGTCTTTATAAATAGATATAAAAATAATCTAAATAAAAATATTGTTGCTTAATTAGTTTCTTAAAGAAGAATACAAACTTAACTATTTAAAAATTAATTCTAAATAAAAATAAGAAATCTATTATATTATTTTTAAGCAACAAAAATTAACTAATTAATATATGATAAATAAATAACTCATTAAATTTTCATAATCATTATTGTTGGATAACATATTTTAAATTGTTTCTATACTTAATTTTGATTCTTAAGTAGGATTAGTGAATGTCATAAATAAAAAATGGCCTTTAAATTATTGATTAAATATGATATATAATTAAAATTAAACTAGTTTCACGTAATAATGGATATAGGTGATGATTATTTTAAAGCATTAAGCTATTACATCTAAATGGTTATCATTACTAATGTAATTAATAATGCTGATGCAACCTCTTTTTATGATAATTGAAAATGGTATAGAAGAGTGGAATCCTGATTATTCTTTTTTACATCTAATTACCTTATTGATATTCAGATAAGATGTGCTTCTTTTAGATTATGACATTGCTTATACTAGAGTATATTTAGTAGTTTTGATAATATTTACAATTCAAAAAGCATGGCAATTTACTATAACATATTTACTTTATCGAATAAAAGAACGTGAGCGGTAATTTTAGAAGATGGAAGAATGTACTCCTTTGAGAATTTCATTAATAATACTTGCAGTATATACATAATTTTCAATAACAATATTGCACTTAATATTTTCAACTCTCTGTATAATTAGTTTTGCTTTTTGTATTAAAGATGGATAGGAATATGTTCATCTAATTTTATCTTTACTGACATATATTCTTTGGTAGGCTGATTATTTAATTACATATACTATCTTCAGTACATCTTTAACATTTAAGCACAATTTTTTAGATATTTCATAAATTACACTATTTACTTATTTTGCCTATCTTTTTTAGTAATTACAAATTGTAATTTTTTGTATTTTATAAAATCAAAATAGTGTAAGATTATCAAATATTATACTAATGTTATTTGATATACTATCATAAATAGTAAATCAATTTTTATTTTAAACTTATATCTTCAAAGAATCAAGATAAATATTATATTTCACTTGTTCAATCAAATTTGTTTTATGTTTTTATTATTTGGGAAAATCAATTGATTAAAAATAAATGTTTGAATATCTAATAATTCCATTATTGTTATTACCAATAATTTATTATGGACTCATTTCAATTGATATTAAAATTCATTATGAGTCCTTTGTTAATTTATTCAAAGAAGAACCAAATCTTAATAAACTTGTGTATTAATTAAAACTTATACTAAATTAATGTGATATAGATAAATAAATGATTCCTTTAAAATCATCTTTAATTAATAAATCTCATCGTTAGTAATGTCATAATTAATTATGTATATGTTCAAATAAAATATTTATATCTGAAATTTCATAAGCAAATGCCATAACATAAACTATTTTAAAGTAATTTATTTATAACAAAATTTCATTTATATTACATTCCAAAGAAGCTCAAAAGAGTCACTAATATAATTAATTAGTAATTGTATAAACTTTATTATTATATGATTTTGGTTGGCTAACAGACTCAATTAAAAATCTCACTTAATTATTGAATTGTTAATTTAATAATTAAAATTTTGTTATAAGAAAGGAAATATAAAAAAAAATTGTTTATGATGAATCTTGTAATGAAACATCAACAAGGAAAGATAAATCTGATGAACATTAAACATAATTCATTAGATTAAAAGTCTAGATTAGTTTAATTGATTAATGTAGAATTAACTATATTCTATATTTAGCAAAGTTTAAATTAAAATCATAACTTGGAACATCAATGCATGCTTATTAATAATTAATGGTAACAGATTTTATTCAATCATTTCTTACTTATGATTAATCTCTAAAATAAATACAAACATAGATGATGGAGGCTATTAATGATAAAATTGAATTTTATTATAAAATAATAAAAGATGAAAAATAAAATTTAAATGTTTTAGGAAAATGTACTAAAGAAATATGTTTTAAACTTAATAAAGTTAAAAAATAACTTAAATAAATATATGCAGCATATCCATGTTCTAGTATTTAAAGATGTATATGTTTTTTTTAATGTGAATTATTAAATAATTATTATGAAGCCAATAAAACATCTACACTTACATCAATGTAGGATGATAAAATGTTTAAAAATAAGAAAATAACTAATTATGACATTTAAGTTGATTAGACTGCCTATGCTATATTATCAATTAAAGGAGAGTTAGATGATTTTCATATAGAATAAGTGTCTTCTTATTTTTTAAAATTGATTGGTAAAACATCAAATAAGGATATACATTTTTTTTAATTATTACCTCGTTTTATGAAGAATTGGCATCCTTCTTTCATTCATAATTTTTTTAATGATGGATAATCACGATATTATAAGAGTTTTAATTAAAGTTTTATTTCTACAAATACTGGATTACTTAAAACTGTTTATTTATGTTATGATATCACTAAAATTTTATCAAATTAAAATCTTGTATTTGCAGCATTTTTATAAGAATTACCTGATTAAAAATGTTTTTTATTATCATATGGAACAAATTAAAGATTAACATTTTCAGAGAATTTCTTTAAAAAGATAGGATTTCATTAAAAAATAATACTTGGACTCCCTTAAGTATTGACAATAGTTAATGGACTTTATTTATAATATTTAATACCTTCATTTCCATAAGGAGATATAGAAAATGATACATTTTAATTAAATACAGAGATGAGATTTTTGGATGATAAACATTTAAAAGATATATAAAATGAAGGAGTAGATTTAGGTATGTATATTTTAGATCCTAAATAATGGTAAAAGGAAGATTAAGTATAATTTTATTCAGTTTCAATAATTGTTACTAAAAGACATGTAAGTTAATAATCATATTTATTAATTGAATTTTCAACTATTACAAAAATAGCTAAAAATTTAACTGAAAATTCAAAATTTTAAACTATTTAAAATAATGATATAACATCACTTTAATCTTAAGAAGCTGAATTCATTAATGATAGTTTTGCATCATTAATGAATTTGAGTGATGAAGCTGAACCAAAAAAAGTAAATATTTTTGATGTAAGAATGAAAGAATTTTTATAAAATGAAATATAAGATGAAGAAGCTGCTAATATTGTTTCATATAGGAAAGATGAATTTTAGAATAATGTATTTCCATAAAGTCATAGATTATTACTTTCAGAAAGAAAAAAAGAAATTTAATAAGAATTTTATAATATAGAATAAATGCGTATGGATTCATTAAAATAATCATCAATTTATGAATCTCATAAATAGAGACCAATAGAACATAATGTTATTGATGAAATATAATCATAATAATCTTCAGTAGGTGGTGTTAAAGAATCTTAATTATTTAAGAAATTTGAAATGATAGAAAAGATAATCAAGAAAAAGAAATTTGATAAAATGTCAGTATATCTAATATTACTTTTATTACAAACAGCTTTCTTTATTTCGTTTGCATTAATTGTAATAACTTTGATATCAACAGAATTACTTATGTTTATATAAGAGATAGATATGATATCATTACATGCAAGTATTATGGCACCTCATGATTTATATCTATCAATTAAAGTAACAATATCAGCATATTAATAATAATATCGTGAAAAATATATAGATAATGCTACCTTATATAAATTGATAGATCCATTGTATTAATTTAATGCTCCATATTATTTTGATTTACAAAATAATTTATTTGATGTATTGTAGAATGAACATTTATCAGCATTCTTTACAGATCAATAAGTTACAGTATATTTTATGGGTAATAATGATTCTGTAACATATTCAAAGGAAATGTCTTTTAGAGAGGAATTGTTAGCAATATTACATGCTTAATATTAATTTAAAAGAGTTTTTGATGCTCGTAAAAATGCAAATGGTTAAGCTTGTTAAGTATTACAATTTGCAAATTATTTTAATTTGTAAGATAAATTAGAAGAATTAACAGATGAAATTTTGGAATATTCAAAAAATAGAAGTTTAGCAGCTGCTGATTAATGGTTTATCATATGGTTAATTTATTAATTGATTGCTATTTGTATTGGACTTATTACTTTATTTTATAAAAGAAGTATATTGAAAACATATGAGAAATTATTAAGTTTATTTTATTTTTCAGATAAAAATTCACTTGAATAAGAAATATAGAAATTAAAACATTTGAATACTTTAATTTAATAGAATTAAGATTTATTATCAAAATATGATTTTAATTTTAGAGAAAGAGAAGAATTAGTAAATAGAAAGAAGAAAGAAAGTTAATCAATAAAATAAGAGAAACCAAAAAAGTAAGGTGAGCAAAAGTTGTAAAAAATTATACCAATAATAGCCTTTTTTTGCATTTATATCTACTTTTTAGTATATTCTGTGATTATTCATGAAGAAACTAAGATCTATTTGACAAAATATAAATAGACAACTGATTTTTATAGATTAGTTTAAGATCTTAGATTTAGAAGTGGAAATATTTATGTTTATAGAGAAATCTTTTTTAGATGGTCTAATTTTACATACTTAAATAAATCTGATTTAAATCGTTTATATGGTTTAGTTGAGAAATCTTAGAATGTAATGTAAATTTATGTGAATGGTTTATCATAACAATAAAATGATGAATATTTGTTTTCAACTAACTATATCAATTTTATAAGTTAAGTGGAGAATTCAAATCTTTGTAATTTCATAGATTCAGTAAAGTATTTAATTTACAATAGAAGTACCTGAATCTCACTCCTTATTGTGAATATGCCTTGGATGGAGTCTTATAGAAAGGAATGATACCTAGTTTGAATTACATATCTTAATCAATTCGTAGTTAATAGGAAATTAACAATTTTACAAAGAGAGCAGAAGTCCATTTTTATGAATTGGAAGGAGCTTAGGTAATTTGTTTAGCCTTTCAGAATGTATCAGAATAATTAAAATAAAGTATGATAGAACTGACTCAAAGTTTTAATCAAACAAATGAGGTATGTAAAATTAATGAATATATAATTAGGTTCTATCTTACTTATTTTTACTATCTTAATTATTATTTTCAATTGTTTTTGTGACATGTTTTAGAAGACTATTGATTACAGAATTCACTATGTATAAGAAATCTTTGTAATTGATTCCTATTCAAGTATTGTTAGGTGATGATTCTTTAGAAAGAGCTTTACGTCAATTTGAATTTACAGAAAAAATATGATTATTAATTAATTTTATTCCTATCACAATTTATAACCCAATTTCAGTTCAATTTGTTTCAAGTATCTTTCAAAGAAGTCATTTTTCAAGATGTCACTTTATGGTATCATCAAAACTCCAAATTTGATTAATTGAAGATGTTATTTCAAATTAGTATAATGGAAATTTATAACATAAAAACAAATAATACCTAAAGCAATTAAAAAGAATATAGACAATAACTTAAAATAAAAATAAATATATTACTTAATTTTAATAATTAAAGCTTTCTGTTTTATTAATTATTCCTTTTTATAAATTTTTATTCATAAATGAAAATACTCTACTTGCTACTTACCCACCTTCTACTTCATATAAAATATCTTCTGCCCTATAAGTGAAATTATTTATAGCTTATTATGTAATTATTGTTTAATGAATATATGTTAAAGCAGGAAGCATTCCTTTCATCAAAGAACTATCAAATGATTTCTGACAATATGGAGTAAGCACTTTTCTATAATTTTCATCTAAAAAATTGCATACATCAGTATTTTAAACTGTAAGAAAGAATTCATAGAAATTTTCAGGAACTAAAAGAGTTTCTAAATTTATTCTTGGAGCCTAATCAACATATTCCATAATTTTAGATTATGCTATATCAATTAAATTATATAATCTTAATCCATCTGTTTTATTTAAATAAGTAAGATTACCCCATAACATAAACATTTCTCTATATAAAAACATATTACCACTTCGAAAAGATAAATCTGCTATCAATTTATAAAAATCAGCAGTTGATTAATATTTATTTAAGAAACTTTGAGTTTAAAATGTAATTAAACAAGAGTAGATTAAAAATATTACAAATATTACAAATGAAAATATTATTGATCTAAACTTTGATGCTCTAATCAATATTTTTCTTTTATTTTTTCTAAGTACATCATTTTCTCCTTTATTTTAAATATTCTATTATATTTCAGTTTATAATTCTAATTAATAACTATTAATATAATCAGTTTAAGATGATAAATTATTTAATAAAATTTTATGTTTTTCTGTTTCTTTTAATATACTTTGTTCTGTTATATGCGTTATTATTTCCATTATTGTATCATACTAAAATAATATCCCTGTTTTTAAATAATATATTAAAAGAGATAATACAAAACAAACTACTATAAAAACAATCCAAATTGTTATCCATTTATCAATTATTTATGTACATTTATCTCTTGAAAATTGTAAAATTTCTTGGGACATAAGTTCTAAATTATCTTAAAGATTGAAATAATTAGAAAATTAAAAAACCTAACAAGGACAACCTTTTGTTGGAATCCTTTTATCAAAAATTATTTTAAAATCATATTGATAATTAAGTAATTAATGAATAAATTCTCTAAAAGTTATATTTTTTGAATAAATTATTTTATCAGTCATACCCATAAAAAATGTATTTGTATAAACATCTTTAAAAAATTCCTTTAAATCACTCTCTAATAAAGATATATATGAATTTTGTTTTAATTCATTATAACACACTCCTATTATAGAATAAAGTGGTTCTACTAAATCACTTGTTTATTATTAACTTATTTTTTTAGCTGTATATAACCCTTAGTAATAATAAATCTATGCTCTTATAGCAAGGTATCTATCATAAGGAGCTACAATATCTGCTTAAAAAGATAGCATCTCTATCTCTTAAATTTTAGTTTGTAAATCATTACTTAAGAGAGATAGAATTATTACTGAAAATATGCCAAACACTATAAGAGTGAAAATAATAAAGAATACCATAATCTATTGTTATGAAAAATTGAAATTGCTATAAAATGAATCTATAATTTCAAACTTTTTCATATAAATAGGTCTTTTTATAGAACCTAAACTAGATTCAGATTATTATTATTATAAATCATCTTACTTTTAAACTTACTATAATTGAGGATGTTTCTCTTTACTAGAAGCCTCAGCATTAAAAAAAGCAGGTTATTAACAATAATATTCTTATTAAAATGAGCTATTGTGTCTTTATACAGTATTTATCATATTTTAACTTTTATCAATCAAATTAGATACACTATTGTTAGGACTAAGCATAACTTAATAGATTTTATCAAAATCTTATTATTTTGAAAGTTCTTTTAATGCTATTGAATAGTTCTCTCGTTCTTAAATATTCAAAGTATTTACATGTTTAGCAGCTCCTTCATCTATAGATAATATAATAGAATCAATATCAAATATTGCTGATTCTGCATTATGTTAAGTTTATTTAAATTAAGTACATGAAAATACTGCATTATTTTAATGTGAAGATTCAATCAAATGAGCAGATTCTAATTCAATTATAAAATAATAAAATCCAAATATTTCTCTTTTCATAATAAATAAATTTGCTGCATATTCTTTTGTGTATCTACTATCCTACCAAACTCTACCTAATTGTGAATGATTTTCAATCGAAGACTTACTATAATTTTCCCTTTGAAATTATAAAATATCAACAAATAAAAATTTTACATTATCAAGTTTTTATTCTTATAATTCCGACCAAGGTATATTATTAAAGACTGGTATTATTTAATTGATTTCAACTTCATAAAATGAATAAAATTCATCTATATTTAATATATCTTCTTCTGAAAATCCCAATTTTCTTAAACACATAAATGTCATACCAGATAATAATCCATTTACATTTACTAAGAGATAAGCTTTTTATTCAAGTACATCTTGAATAATAGATGCAAATACCACTCTATTATCATTTAATAATGTGACAGTATCAAAAGTCTATTCCATTTATTTGGATAAACCATTTTATTGTTTCACAAATGTTAGACTAAGATTTCTGTAATATCTTGCTTTACCAGTTTAAACAAATCTCTAAACCATAGCAGGATGTTCCTCTCTTATAAACTCAGGTAAGATATCATTAAATTATATAAGATGTTCATTAGGTTATCGACCAATAATTTTAAGAAAATTACTTGAATGAGATTTAATTCTTAAATTTTATAAATCATCTTGCAATTAAAACAAAACATACATAATCTTATCAGAATAAAAGTCAATAACTTAATTACTAAAAATATATTTCTATTATTAATTGTTATTAATTTATTTGAATTTTTAAGCCTTTTAGTAACTATTATAAATTCTTGAATAAAAGAATATTATCATTTATTTCATTTTAATACTTTAATAAGCTTCATATTTTTATAGAAGTTTCTCTTCTAAATCTAATACTTATGTGAAGTATTTCATTTTATAAATAAAAATTTTATCAGCATTCATAGCATCACATTTCAAAAGATAAGTGTAGAATTCAATTTTCAATTTTATTATTTTAATAATCATTTACACTAGGTCATCCATTTAAAATTCACTTTTTAAATAAAAATTTAAATATTCTGACATTTACAATTATTAAGCTGTGCAAATGGAATTTGTAAAATTTTCATTTAAATAAACTTATGCCTATTTTAATAAATATTATATTTTTATTAGTTTAAGTGTTGAAACTTAAAAATTTCTATTAATAACATCATATTTTAAGACTTTTTTATGTTAATTGTTAATAATATCCTAAATTTATGAATCAACTTAACTTTATTTTATTTTTTTTTATGGTCTATTAGTAAGAGACTTCTCACTTGATATAACTCTTACTCGATAATCATTAGATGAATTATTTAAAAATCTATTATAATTCTTAATAGCTATTAATACAAATCCTTGTCTCATGAATAAGGTAGCTTAAGCAATTTCATAAAATGCAGTATCTAAATTATGAATATTTCTATTCTCATGTATTTACTTAGTAATGTGTTTTATTTTTGTGTAAATAAATTATTTAAAAATTTATTCAGTAATAATATTAGCTTATTTAACATCTAATATATTGAATGTTTGATCCTTGCAAGAACAAGTTACATTAGAACATTTAGCTTTGTGTTAAGACCAAATGAGACTATTCTGAAAGGGTTAAATTTCATTTTGATAACAATTATTTGAAAATTTGATTAATTAATAAACATACATAGTAATAGGTTATTTAGTATTAATAAATATTGAATAGATTGAATTAATTTAGTATTGATAATCAATATACAAAATAATACTGGCTAGAAGAGGCCAAATAATGATGGAATTATTTTTTAGATTAATAAATGCATAACATGAGTATGAAATGATCATAGAATTAATAAAATATAAAATTATCCTTTGAGTTTTATATATATATCCTTGATACATAAGTTAATTTATAATTTTTAATAAAGCTATGATAAGGGTTAAAACAATTTAAGCAAATTAAGAAATTTCTTGTTTAATTATAGTTCCAAAAAGAATAATTTGCAGTAATTCAATTGCATAAATAATAATGTCAAAGGAAGTTACAATTGATTTTTCAAAACCTTTAATATGAAAATTAGATGATGGGAAACATATAAATAGATTTAATAGAGTCTCAATTTCTATAATAAAGAAAATAATGATTCCAAATAAAAGTAAAGCAAAATAAGCGGAATTTTAATTTTAAAATTATTTTAGGGTATTACTTATAGAACAAATTAGTAATGTTTAAATAGGGTAATGTAGAATAATGCATAATAATTATTAATAATATGATGTAAATGTTATAAACATGTTTTTAAGAATACTAGGATTCTTTTATTTATTTGAATATCTTTAATTTTCATTTGCTAAGTTAAATATGATTCCTAATTTTGCAATAAATATGATCACTAATATTATATATGGTATAATTAGTATTACTATGTTTGGAAAAAACTTAAATAAAAGTATTTCAGGTCTAAAGAAGTAAAATATCATCTATTGAATAGTAGTATTTGGTATTTTTTCTTAAAATTAATCATAATCGTAATAGTAGAGATAAAATACTGGTTAACACATACTTACAATAAAAATAAATATCTTAAATGGTTCATAGCAATAGAATTAGTCATTAATTTGAAGCATATTGCACACAATTTGATTTAAGAAATTGGAGTCTTCCTTTTTTATAATTTGTCTCATTTTAATTAAAATTCAAGCTACAAAGAAGAATCAAATTACTCATCAATAAGTGATATTAATATTATGTTAAATATGATAAAATATTCATTTTCAAATCTATGCTTATGGAAATACATCAGGATGCTATAGAAAAATATATTAACATAAAATACTTATCCAGGCCTATACGATGCTGCACTAGATCGAACTCCTGATTTGGACAGTTCGTTCTATTTCTTCTTTAAGGAATCTAATTCAGCAGAAGTAACAACCAATTCTTCTTATACTTGATGATATTCTCTGTTTAATTCTTAGAATTTATTTTTCCAAATTGAAACATCATTTGTAAGTTTTGTAACTTCTTCATAAGTTGTATTATTATTTTAATATTCATATTCTAAATCTTGATACATTTTATCTAATTCATTATATTTAGATTTCCAATCTTCAATTTCAATATTTAATTATTGAATTTAACTTCTAAGTCTATCAATTTATTCTTTGTCTTCATTATTAGATTAAAAAGATGGTTTAAAATTCATTTAATTGGCTTTAAGAGAATCATTTTCTTATTTCATTTATAAAATTTTATTGTCTAATTCTGTAATCTTACTATTTAAATATTTAATAGTTAATTCTTATTATTAGATTTATGATCTTAAACGATTAGTTTCATCATTCTTTTATCTCAATTCATTCTATAATCTCTCAATTTCAAGTTATAAATTCTATAATTTACCATCATTTTCAAATTAAGAATTTAATTTAAGTGATTCAATTTCTCTATTTCGATTATCAACCATTTCTTTTAATCTCCTAATTTCAACTTCATATTAAGCAGAATCTCTTAATTATGCTTCAAGTCTTTGATATTTTAATTTCCATTCTTCAGTTTCTGCCCTTTAACTGTTAATTGAGAATTAAGCTCTATCAATTTCTTATCTTAATTAAGAGAGAGTAGCTTCATATTCCTTAAGTGACAATTAATGTCTACTATCAGCCATAGATAATTCTAGAATACGATATCTTTTAGAGAGTTCTTCGTTTTAATCCCTAAGTCTAACAATTTCAGCATTTAACATAGCTTCATTCTCTATCATAATTGATCTCATTTTATCAATATCTATTTCTGCTTATTATCTTGCTTATTTATCAGTTGCCATATATAATTTATGTTTATATTGATCTAATTCTAAAGACATATCCAACAAACACTTATTTAATCTATCAATTTCTAGATACAATTAATTTATCTATGGTAAAATAATTTGAATTCTTATACCTTTAAAGTATCTTCAACATAAGTGATTTTTTCAGTAGCACCAATTCCTCTTAGTCTCATCACTTCTGTTTGACATTCTGTTAATGCCTATTCTAATTATGAGCATTTGGCTTTCCAAACACTTTCAATCTCATCCCGAGTAACTACTGTAATTGGTGCTTCTCGATGATACATTTCTCTAACATGTGGATGAGTAACTGTGTGACTTTATGCATTGTCATTCGGTTTATAGGATTGCTTATATATTAATGATTCTAATACATAGGGTGGTCGTGCAGATTGTTATGGTTAAGAATATCCATATGCTTATCCATATTGTTAAGAAGCTGGGCTATATCTCATTTTATACTGTTAAATAATTAATATAACAGAAATTCATCTGATTTTGTTTATAATCACCTAAATCTAAATCATATTCAATATTTTTTAACTCTTTATATCATAACTATGAATTTGAATTATTTATAATTAATCATCATTAACAGTGATCTTAAAATTAATAGATTTAATTTCTTATAATATTTTATGACAATATTATTTTTTGATTTACTTAAAATGATTATGATATATAATTAAATTATATAAAACAACAATTATTATATTCCTTAATGACAATTAAATGAAGAAAACAAATTATTTTATTAATTTCATAAAATTAATTGTATAATTATGAATTTGATTTTAAATGAATATTCCAATCAGATTCCTCTTAAATTCAATTTTTAAGCCAGAATCGTAAATTTATGAGATTACTTCTCATACAATTATGTAAGTGCTAATGGTTTATTCAAACATTCTTAACTTTTCTTCAAAATGATTTTTTCACCTGTAAAATCTTCTTTATTATAAAGTCTGACTGAATATCCTTTAGGAATTTGAACTGATTTAATATCATGATCAAAATTACTATGTTTATTGAAATATATACTCAATTTCTCTTTAAGATTCACATATTTTAAGTGACTCTCCTTTAAAATGACATTATGAATAGATTACTATACAATTAGAATTTTCAGCATTTTATTCACTTTCAGCTAACGTTAAATTACATTAATACATATGTTATTTAAATCTTATTAACTAAGTGCTTAAGTACCTAAAGTATCAATCATATCTAATTATGGTATATCGTTTAAACCCTCTTTATTAAGAGATTTCATACTTGAATTTAATTATCATCATGTGATATTGAAGTTATTTCGGAATTGAGAGTAGAAATATTCTGGTGGTCTAAAATAAAATTATTAGGATCTTCAATAGATTTATTGTTTTCATTGTTTTAAGTCACTTCTGTGTTCTAATGAATGAATGTTCCATCAAAATCATAATATCCCTGCTCTTATTATGTTTAATCGACATTTCTTTGATAGCCATCAAAATTAACCATTGTAGGTATAGGATTGGTTTCAATCTCACTCAATTCCACATTAGATTAAGCCAGCACTAAAGCTGAAATAAGAATAATTCCAAACATAGAAGCCTTTATTCTCATGGTAAAACGGATTAATTTAATATTATATAATGTTTCTCAAATAAGCTCAATCTCAATTTAATTATCTTTTTGGTTAAACACTAATACTCCTGGAAATATTGTTTAACTGTTTAGGAACATTAATCCAACTAAAACACAACTAACAATTCCAACTTTTTATTTAGTAGTGGGTATGATTTTTACTTTCAAATAGCTATGATGATTTATAACATTAAATATTTTTGTTTATATAACATTATCCCTACTTGATAAAATATATTTAACTTAAGCTTTTGGTTCATTCAAATTCTGACTGTTGAATAAATATAAAATATTATCATGAGCCAATGAGAAATCTATATTAAAATTTTAAACAGAGAATATATTTTAACTTAATTATGAGATTTTTTAATCTGAAATATTAAATTCTTGTAAATATGCACGTCCCTTCATATCAATTGATTCTTAATCTACTAAATAAATTTATTAATCATATATTAAAGCCAATTAAGTAGTTTCATTTAAATATGGTATTTTTATGTCTTCATTCATTTCAACATTCTTTTTTATTTAATCTTCAATAATAAATGATGCTTCACCTAATTTAATTAATAATGATAATTAATTACTTCCAATCATTAATAAATGTTTTTGATATTATATTAATCTCGATTCTCCTAATAATGTGTATCCATCCAATTCTGTAATATAAAATATAGGTTCATTCTATTCAAAAATTTGATTAATACTTCCTCTATATAATTAAGATAAGTTTTCTTGTTAAATTATCAAATAAATAAAATTATTAATCAAAATTACTTACTTTATTTTTATATAATCACTATCTTAATTATCAATCTTTATGCAATTTTTTTTATTTGTATTATCATAGATATCAAATTCTAATTTTATTTTAAAAAAATGATAAAATAGAATTAATTTAAAATTAATTATTCCTATTAAAGTAGGAATTTTATCTAATTAACTTTTTCTATATATTTGAAAGATATCATTATTTCTCTAATTTATTTAATACTTTTTACCTCTGTATTCAATCTCTAAATAAATTCCAAGGATAATTTATTACCATTGAGTATTTTTTAATTAAATTACTTTTATAATTCTAATACATTTTGCTATTCACTTAATACTGAATAAGTGAAACTTTATTTCTACATTCTAAAGATCTATTGATTAGATTTCTCTACAATAAATTAATTATTCTCATCTTTTATTTCATTTATTAAGTAAGCCACATCTGAATTAAGTTTACCCTATACATGACATACAGGACATATAAATTATTTTGATTCATCTTATTACAATTAAGTTTGTATTTGTTCATCCAATTCATAATAATTAAATTAGCAACCCTTAGCTTCATGGAAACAAGGGGCTGTAAGAGAATTAAGAGTCATTTATGAGTAATTCTATATAATTCTATAATCCCCTTTCTTCATTAAGGAAGCAATAAAAAATTAATTATAATCATTATAAAAATTTTAAATATGGAAAATCCTCTTATACTTATTTATTTAATCATATATCTTTGATAAATTTAAAATTTTAAGGCTCTTTTAGGGCTCTTAATAGATTTTGTCTGTATTTTAAATGCCAAGCTGTGTTTGAAATACGTGAATTATATACATAAGCAATAGATTAGTTTTTTAAAAAATACTAGCTAAGATATAGATGTACAAAATACCTTATGATTCGAAAAACTTTATTAAATTCAGGGTTTTTTCCTCCATCAACCCATAGATCTCTAAGTTATTTTATATTTGTCATTTAATTCTTCTTTGTTTTCAATAACTAAATAAAATTATCATATTTATCCTTCTTCATAAATTATAAAATCAATTCTTCATTATTAAGAATGTATGAGATAATTGCTTTTGAGAAATTCTTTGTAATATTTTTAGTATCATTTACTTTAGATCCTTTCTTTTTTCTATTAATCTTATAAGAATCTGAGCTTTCTTACAATATACATCTCTTTCTAGTAGTACGTTTACTAATTTTGATTACTTTTTTATCATTTTTATTTTCATTCCAACTACTTTCACTCATATTAACAACTTCACTTTCACAAGAGTCTTCTTGATTAAGTAATTTTAATTCCTCTTTTTTAAAATGGTTTAAGTTTGAATTCAATTGTAATTTTTAAATTGAAGGAGGTCTAACAATAAATTATGAAGGAGAATTAATTTAAGTAACTTTAAATTATCTATCTAAACTAGTATTAGAATATGGTGGTAATTCGTTTTGTTATTGTTGTTGTTGTAAGAATGGATAAAATGATTATCTAGGTGAGTTAAAAAAATAAGACATCATTGGATTGATTTGTCTATTTTAGGATTAAAAGATATCAAAAGGTTTTTGAATAAGTTTACTATCAAGAGAACTATTGACAAATGGTCCTCTTAAATTGTTAAACATAAAATCATTATTGCCATCAAATGATACTCTTTAGGAAATATCAAATGTAGTATATTAAGGGTTGAAAAAGAGGTTGTTAGATAAAGGTTAATCAGTTGATAACTATTAAACTTGGGGATCGTGTGAACTTTAGACTTTTACTTTAAATTATCTCATAGGATCAAGTGAAACATCCACAGATGCAATATCGGAAGGTCTTGCAATATAAGGAGTGAATGACTTCACATTCTTCTTTATCCCCTCGGACATATTTATTAATATGATATAATGATAAAAAATAAAAGAAAAATGTTGATAATTCAAATAGTTTAATGATTATGCCCTTATTTAAGAGTTACGATTTCTTGTTTTAATTTAGAAATATATTATAGAAGGATTCTTTCTCTGTTATTATATGAATCTAAAATGAGTTTCATTTTATTATAAATAGCCTAAAATTATCTATTAAGTCTTTAATTTTATAATGGTTTCTTCTTTTTAGTTTTAATTTAAGAATCCCCTAACTCTGAATAATCTATAGATCTTGTAATATATTTAGGATCTATAAAATTTCTATATATTTTAGATGATTATAAAGTCGTTGGTTGTTGAGACTATGAAAATCTTGGTTTACGATCCTTAACTGTATCTATGCTTTTAGCCCTAGTTTTAGAATTGAAAAGGATACTGGAGTGAAATCATTGCAGGCGTTTGAATTTTAATTGCTGCACTATATTAAGATCTAGGTTTCACTTCAGGTACCTTTTCAGAATCAATAGTTTTTGACATCCAATCAGAAATCGTAGCATATCGTTGTCTTATTTTAAATCTTATATCATCATCATAGTTCTTCAATTTCATTTTTTCTGTCTTTATAATTAATCTTGTATAAAACAGAAAAATATTATTTTGAAATGAAAGTTTAGATTGAAGATGTATGTTTCGATTTGGATCCTAAATTCAAAGATCATTCTGAATTATTGAATTAATTATATGATCCTACATCTAGTGAAGTAAGAATCACTATATAAATTAGCTAATTTAATTGCAAAGTTAATATGTCAATAAGGAAATTTGGAAAATAATTGAACACTATTATGTAGTAAATAACTTTAAGCCTGTATAAACAGAAGTTAATTGTAATAAAATTAAATTATAAGAAAAGGTGATGATGAAAATAAAGTATTTGCACCTTAAGATTTAGAAATATTAAGAATGATAAAGAATTCAAACATTTCAATTCATAGATTTTTATTAGCAGCAAGATATCTAAATTTACCTTCATTTTAGGGTGTAATTTGAATAAAACTTATTAGATCTATTAGTTAGTAAGTTGGCTACAGAATTTTATGTTGATGTTACAAAACCTAAGCAATCTCTTGAAAATTTATGTAAGAAATATCCTTAAGTTCCTATGGTCACTAAAGAAGAAATCATATAATATAATTAAGTGTTGTAATACTTAATTTGAGAATGCATTTTTCAATCTAATGTTCAATAATACCCATATCGTGTACTATTCTTAAAGCTTTAATCCATGTTATTTCTTCTATACAATTGACTTGCATTCTACTAAACTTAAGTTCTTGTAGCTTATTGTTATAGTGTTTTGTAATAGTTCTAAATTATCTTTGATGATCCCAATCCAGAAAAGTCACTTTAATGAGTTTCCCTTATAATTAACAACTTTCTAATACTTAAATTGTTTGAATCTCATATATTCTAAATAGTCCTAATAATCTTATTGATCTTCAACTTTCTCATGACGAATCGGTTATTGATATTGATAATTAGGTTGCTATTAATATGGATCATAATATTAATTTGAATAATTCCAATATGGTGGAGGTCTTATTCATTTTATAATCTTACTAATAATATTGTTAAGGTGGATCAGTATTAACATGCATTCTATTCATAATACTTTTTGCTTAGAAACATACTCCATGAATATCCCTTGCCAAAGATTAAACAGTTGCTAATCATAAATCAATTTTTATTCTATACGTTCTTAAGGTTTTTCTTCTTCTTCTTCTTCCTCTTCTTCCTCTTCCTCTTCTTCTTCTTCTTCCTCTTCTTCATAATCTTTACATAATATTTATTTCATACCTTCTTCATCACTCATTTATTATAAAAATATATATTATACAATCAGTTTATAATCTTAACTTTAAAATTATTTAACAAATTATCTTAAACCTAAAATTAATAGTATAAATAATTTTAATACAATCCAGTTTAGAGGAATACGCATATAAAAAATTAAGAATATGTTATTTCAATTTGTAATCTTAATATATATTAATAGATTATGTATTTTTTCATAAATCTTATGTTTTATAATAATAATATATATAGAATCAACTAGAACTTCTAAAAGACAAGAAGTTTGATTAAACTATTTTATATTAATTATGAATCGCAGTAATGATTATTTTCTATTGACTTTATATGATTATAATTTTTCATATAAAATGGGATTTAAATAGCATTTATTTAATCACTTATTAAGATTGATTTTCGATCATTGACCAAAAATTATATTACAATTAGTAGGTGTTTTAATGAATTGTTGAAAAAATTAATAAAAAGTAATTACAATATATTTATTAATATTTGTTAATAATGATATCTACACCTAATAGTATTGAATCCAAAATTTATGAAATATAAAATAACACACTTACACCTAAATCAGAACATGAGGAATTCAAATAAATGTTAATAAAATTATGGATTTAGATCTCGAAATCTTTTAATGAAGACTTTGAAGAAATTTTATAACTTGGTATCAATTCAGATATCTAAGATGTTGTGAATGCTATACTAATTATTGAGGAGGCAAGATTAGATTAAATAAAAGTATAAAATTATTTTATATTTTTAAGAGCGATAGATATTAGATTTAGCTTCTTAAAGATGAAATCTAATCTCTTAAAGAATAAAGAAATATTAATTCTGGAAATGATGAATTATAAGAGGTTTAACAATAGTATAGGGAATTAAGTGAGTTAGTCATTCAATTAAAGTAATCAAATGAATAAAAAGATCATTAAATAATGGAATAAACTAATTTAAACTAATAACTATAAATTGAACTTAATCTATTGACATCTTAAATTAATAATTTATCTTCAGCTTTGGTTGAGTCTAAAGAAGAAAAAATATTATACATGGAATAATCATAGAAATAAATTAAATAATTGATGGAAAAAGATCTATAATAAAATAAAATGATTTAAATTCTTTAGATATAAAAAATAGAATTGGAAAACATGATTAAAAAAACTAGTCAAAGAAATTTAATTGAATCTTCAAATCATTAAATTTCACAAACTTAGAGAGAAGAAGATCAAGCCAGAATACTAAGTTGTTCACCAAGTACGATTTCACAATATTTTAAGGAACAACTCATATTGATTTTTCAAAAATTGTCTTATAAAGTCTCCAAAACAAAAAAACTGAAATGGTTTCAGGATAATCGCTTACCTAAATTCCTTATAGATTTGGAAAATGATAATAATCATATAAATTGTTTATTAAGAATATTTTACAAACATATTTCTAGATAATATTATAAAAATTAAGTCAGTAGATTGTTATTTTTTCAACATTTTAAAATCTTAATTTAGAGAAATAAATATATTGAAAAATTAATATTATAAATATTTTTATAATATAGAGATTCAGAATAATTTATTCATTCCCATTTTATAAGGTTACAATTCTATTTTTTATTTTTACTTTTTATTCAAAATTACAATATCATCTTCTTTTTTGAGAGGTTTTCTCTTTTTAGGTCCTTTCTTTCCTTTTTTATCTTATTTTTCTTCAAAATCTTCATCCTCTTATTCATCTTAACCAAATATACTTATTTATGTCTAACCATTCTTAGGAATAGAGTCATCTTCTATTATAATTGGAGATTATAAATTATTTTCTTATTTCTAAAATTAAATTTATTTTGAAGGCATTGTTTAAAAAGAAGCATTTGATTTATTCACTTAATTTAAATTAATTTTATTTGTATCAATTCTAAAATCTTCCTAAAATTTAGTAAATGTTTAGCTTATATCAAATCCAAAATCAGTACAATAAAGTTATTCATATTTTGTTTTACCTTCAAAATTTTTAATAATTGCATCACGTATTTAAAAAATAAGAGATTCTTGATATTCTCTTTACTTTTTCACAATTTATAATATTTTATTATTATATTAAGGTATAATATTATCTTTAAATTTCTCAATTGTCTTTGGATATAAATCATTAAATAAATTAGACTTTTCCTTATTAGTTGATGATAAAAAGTTATCAAGAATGTTTAAGAAATCTCCTTATTCTATGATTTAAAAGTTTTATTGATACAACTTTTATGATAACTTAAAATATAAAATTTATAATTACCATATTTGAAAATTCGTTCATCATAGTTTAATTTTGAGAATTAATTTCTACTTTATTTCTTAAAATATTATCAAATTATTAATTAAGTTAATGAGCTTATTCTTTTCTTTTTTGTATTTAAGCTTATAGATTTGATTTCTTCTCCCAAAATTTAAATATTTAATCTGGATTTGATACTCTATCTGCAAATTTAGTTTCAATAAATCTCATTCTCATTATTTCAAATCCAGAATACTCCACTTTAATTCTTAATAATGGTTTTTTCTATCTATATTAACTAGTTGAATAATAATTAATTAATTCTTTTTCAACAAAATCAAATAATAATTTTTCAGCTATTTCCTAATTACTAATATTTGAATTATTTTCAGTTGATTTTATTAATTCATTTAATTCAATATTCTTATAAATCATAGGTCTATAACTATTTTCAAGTTTAATGCTTTCAAATTTCATTTGATTCTTTGTTAATGTAAATAATCCTGCTTATTTAATTAAAGATTCATATTCAATTATTGATGTTGCAACAGTACTTCCTGGATAAAATACTTAAAAATGTTCACATGTATCTAAAGTATATATTCTATAATAAAATCAATTTAATTTTTACGCTTCATGTTCATGACCCCAAATCAATAGATCAATTTTATAATTTTTAAAATAAATTGGATCAATAAAATTCTTTTCATCTTAAAAATGATTACCCTTATATTTATTTTAATGAATAATTAGAATATTAAAATTATTTTCATCTAATTAATCTAAAACTAATTTCCCATCATTAATTATTTTATATAATTAATAATCTTTCATATAACCTAAACCATATAGTGCAATTTTTTAATTATTCTTAACAAGAACAATAGGTTTTATACAAACATTTGATTAATCAGTGATTTTTCCAATATAATTTAAATATTTAGATTCATGAAGAATATCTAAAATAGATACACTTTCATTTCTTTCAGTAACTATATCATCATGATTACCATTTATTATAAAGATTGGTAATTGTACATTAAAATTAGAACAACTAAAATTAGGTTAATAATTGAGAGAATTGACTTCCATTTAAATTCCTCCAAAATTATCTCCAAATACATGTCTTTATAGAATATCAACACATTTTAGTAAACAATGTTCTGTTGGATGTTTCTCATGAAATAAATCCCTTATTTTTAAATAGAACTCATACCCTCCCAATATAACAAAATCTACATTTTATTGTGAAGCTATTAAAAGGACTTCTTCAAAAGCATCAAAAGCATCTTAATATCTATTAGATTTTGGTCCCACATTTTCATTTGCTCCAAGATGATTATCAGAAGCAACTAAAAACTTATATATAATTTTCTAAGTCAAATACTTTAATGAATTGATTCCTATTAATTTACATTAAATAATAAAATTCTTAGAATTGATAATAATAATAATAATAATAATAATAATGATAAAGTACAATAAATCATAATTTATTATTACTTTTTAAGTTAATAAGCTTTTTATATTATTCACTATCCTACTTATAAGAAGTTAGATTTCTAAATATTAATATTAAAATAAATACCCAAAATTGATAATATTTTCATTTCCTTTATTGATTTGAATAGGTTGATCAAGAATAAGTTGTTATTTAATGAGTTATATGGATTCTTCATTTCTTCTTGTAATTTATTCTAATTACTCAAGTTTTTAAAGAGATTGATAGCCATACTAAAATCTTGGATTTATAAATTACATCTTATTATTTTTTGCTTTCATTTATAAAATCACAAAGTTAATGTTAAATATTTCTATTGAATTAATCTAATTAATCTTATCTCATTTTTATAGTATGAATATCTTTTTACATTTTATTCATTTGAAATTCCATTCTTCTATAAGATTCTTATTATTAAATATTCAATTTCTTATTACTATCTGCTCTAATTAAAGTATTGAATAATGAGTTTGATAATTCAATTTTAGATTTCTAATGTTAATCAGATTTTTGTTTATGACTATTTAATTTGCTCCCATTTAATTCTACTCTATTCTAATCTGGTGTTAAACTAGAACTATTATTCTTATTATTTGATTATAATAAGATTTAACTATGTTTTTTTTATAGTTCATTTGTGAAGCTAAGATGTTTATTTTTATCCTATCCTTCACTATTTATTGTTTTTTAAGTTATTTCTTTTATGGGATGACTGCCTTTAATCATATATTAGATTTATGAAATAAGATTAGAGCAACTTCCTTAATTTTTTAGATTTTCTTTTTATTCTTAAGAACGATTGTTTTTAATATTTTGATCAATAATTTGAGTCTTTTTAGCAGATTAAATTGATTATTCAGTTGATGATGCTATATCTGTCTACTCAGGTATTTAGAATAGCACATTACCAAAGCTTTGATTCTTTTGCATTATTTTGTGTGTATTATTTTCTTCTATTAATCCTGAAATTTTAGAACTTAAAATTTATTAAAAATCATTATTTGACATAGCCCTTCTATGATTATTTTTTGGCTTATTCATTCAAATTCAAAATAAATAATAATCGATTATATAGATTAAAATTATGTTTGGATATAAACTCTTCACAATAGTAAGAGAAAAAACTGTTGTTATTGTAGAGCAACTAGGAAAATATCATAGAACCTTACAACCTGGATTAAATTTCCTTATTCCACTCATTGACAGAGCAGCATACACTTAATCCTTAAAAGAAGAAATCTTACCTATTGAAAAATAATAAGTTATAACTAAAGATAATGTTGCCATTCATCTTGATGGTATTGCATTTATTCGTATTATTGATCCATTTAAAGCATCTTATTAAGTATATTACTATATTCATTTAAATAGGTAAGTGAACCATAAAATGCTATTAAATTGTTGTGTCAAACTATACTTAGATCAGAAATAGGTAAATTAAAATTAGATCAACTCCTTTAAGAACGATCTGCATTGAATCGTGCTTTATAAAGTGGTCTAAGTAAGGCTGCAGCAGAATGGGGTTACACTAGTTTGGGGGTTGAAATATTACAAATTGATATACCTGAAGAAATAAGAGTTTCAATGTAAGCCTAAGTTGTTGCTGAAAGAAATAAAAGAAGAGAAATTTTAGAAAGTGAAGGCAAACAAATTAGTGAAATCAATATTGCTACAGGTGCAAAAACTGCTGCCATTAAAATTGCAGAAGGAGATGCTGAAGCAGTCAGACTTGTTTCTCAAAATGAAGCTAAAGCCTTAAATTAAATTGGTGAAGCTCTATAAGAATAATCAAAAAAAAGAGTTTTAGATTATATACTTTTATAACATTACTTAAAAGGATATTCAAGCATTTTGAAATCATCCAAAGTAGTAGTTGTTCCTAAAGGAAAAGATGGATAAGGAAATGATTTTATGAGTTTGGCTGCTATGATGATGTTCAATAATTAAAATTCTCCAGTTTAAAAAATTATAGAAGTTCCCTAAAAGCCTATAGATGTAACTAGTAATTCTACAGCTTCATAATCTGAAATAAGTAAGTTAACTTAAGAATAATTGGATAATCTTATTAAAAAGAATGTTTATTATAATGATCCAAGGTATTGATATAAATAATCTTAGACTATATTCAGATGATGAGGAAAAAAGAACACATTGAGTATAAAATAAATAAATATATAAACATTTTTAACAATAAAAAAATGTTAATATCTAGATAAAATATTCATCATCTAACATTAAAAAGAAATTTTTAATAAATCAAAATATTCTTAATTATAAAATTACTTATTTCAGATACATTAAATGTTTTTTTTATTTAAAATAATTTTAATATATTTTTTACCTATTTATAAATGTCTTTATATTAATAATTCAATATATTGCTGATAATTATAATATATCTATAAATTTTAAAGATAGAATATTTATTTTATAAATTTTTAAAATCTAAGTTTATTTTTTATTTATTAAGGATAAGAAATAAAGAGAAACTGATGAGAATTCTTTTGTAAAATATTTAGCTATATGATTTAATAAATTTACTAATATTTATTAGAAGTATCTTAGATATTCTTATAAGATTTTTAGTTAATTATATTAGCAATATACTATTTTGTAATTCAATTATTTTTCTCGTCTGCAATTCAATGATTAATTTCTTCTTTTTAGACATTGCTTCAGATAATGATTTCAATTACAAAAATAAAATTATAGGCACTATATTATAATATGAAATTCAAAAATTATATATAAATTGATACATTATTTTGATTTAATAGTAAAAGTTAAGCATAATATTAAAAATCTTATGATATTTTCTAAATAAATATATTATTAAAAATAAATTACTATTTATTATACAAATATAAAATAAGGAATTATGGAAGTCTATTATATTCAATCCTCCATATTTTGATATTTTGTAATTTATATTCATTAATTTGTTATTTTTTTAATTTCTTTTTATTCTTAGATTCTATCTATTAACTTGATATCTAGATTCTAGTTCTTATCAATAATTTAATTAAATGATGTTCGAAAGTATCTGTTAATATGACAATCATGGATTGAAACCAATATTAGGAGTATGTACAAACTTAACATGCAAAAAGTTTAGACCTTATTGTCATTAATGTTTGATAGAATTTCACTTTGATCATATTACAGAAATTAAGGATTTACATTAAATATCATTTTGGTCTTAAAGCTGTGCTCCTTTATAAGAACAATTGATTTAATCAATAAATTAATATAGCAGCATAGTTGATTAACTTACAAATCTAAAGAATTCTTTATAATTTGATTGTTCAATTGATCTATCATTACTCAGGTTGTCAGATTTAAATAATCATATAAACTCTTTAGTAAACTTATCATCAATTTAAGAATTTATTCAAGATATATTTAATAAATCTCAAGATTAATTAGAAATGGTGACTATGTTGTGCAAAGAAACAATTTCTTTATAATGTATCATTTTATATAATTATATTTTAAGAATATAAAGAAAACATTTATTATTAAGAGGATAAGCCAGAATAGTAATAAGATGATATATAAATACTTGCTGAAATAAATGAGATAAAGTTAGAATCGATTGAAAACAAATCAAACATAGAGATAGATACAAATTTAAGTTAGAATGATACTAATATTAAAACCCCATAAAAATAACCAAGATTAAGTTTAAATGATTCTAATATCAAAACCCCAGAAAAATAAACAAGAAATTAAATGCCAAAAATTCGAAATTCAGAACAAAATAGCAAAGTAAAATAAAATTAGAATAATACTTCATAAATTAGATCTTAATCTTATAAAAATTAAATCTCAACAACTCAATAAAGAAATAGTATTAGTAATCTAAAAAAAATAATTTGTTAACCAAAATAATAATCAGTTTAAACATTATCAAAAGACTAAAATTATATGTTGTAATTAAAAGTAATATAGCCTGAAAAAGATAAATAAAAAACAATAAAAACACAAGAAAATGAGATTACATCTCCTAGTAATTAGAGTTCAATATTTATTTAATAACAAGAACCATCAATAAATACAACTATTATATAATAACAAGGATTTAGATTCTCAGAAAACTTAAGATCTTAAAGGACTAAATTATAGAAAAATTGTAAAATAGCAATAGGTTCTGGAGGGTTTGTTCTTTGTGAACCTTGTATTCCAATGGAAGGACAAAGTTAATTTGAAATCTTAATTGATAAATGTGATCTAGTATATTTAGGAATTTGTAGTAAATTCATTGTATAAACTTATAATTTTGAACCTAATATTTAATCATTTGATACTCATGGGTATTAATCTTTATTATTAATAAAAATAGTTCTTATCTTATAAGTAATAATGGATTTTCATATTCTTGTATGGAATAAGAATTAAATAATGTTAAGTAAAAGTTAAATTTTAGTTCAGGAGATAAAATTACAATAACTGTAAATTTTGTATCATCTTTAATTACATGGAAAACTATGTATAAAAAATTATTAGTATTATATTGATTATTATATAAAGACTATGAGATTTGATAATACTAAGGAAATGTATGTTTGTGTAAAATTTCAGAGACTGAGATTTTCAAATGACTCATAAGTAGAAATTTTGAATTATGAATTAAATAATTGATTATTATATAATATTTAAAATGAACAAATTGTCTTATCAACCTCTTGGTTTTGTTTTAAAATTTGATCCACCCATAATTGGATTATTATATCATCCCATAGAGAATAAGAAAGTGAATAAGAAAAAGAGGAAGTGTTATGCTATTCATTTGAATAATTTAATCTTCTTAGTTGAACCTGAAGATATTGTAGAGGCATTATTTAATGAACATTAAGAGTTTTTAGATCCTGATATTGTCAAACCTTAACAAGTACATTTTGATCATTTAATAAGGTCTATAAATTAGTGTTGCGATTAGTTGCTTATAGAGATCATTAGTTAAGAAATATGCAAGAAATGGGAGAAGATATGGGTACTTTTATTTTACCATATTAAAGGTGATGGTTATTATGAAGAGGAAGAGGAAGTACCTGTCTAACCACCTAAAGGTAAAGGAGGAAAAGCATAGGCATAATAAAGAAGAACTAATGATAATAATAGATCATTTTGATTTTTTATATTATAACGATAATTACAATTTGAATTTAATTTATGAGGAGATAAAACCTCAAACAAGATCTTTATTCACAAATCTCGACAATTGGATAGTCATCCTCATCAAAAAGAAGCAACTTAAATATTGATGATTTGATTTATTAGTTCAAAATGAGAAAATCAAATTAGAAATTAGCAAAACAATACTCTGAAATCATTAAAATATTTGATAACAAACAATCACCAAAATAACCTTTTGAATATTAAAGTGGCAAATTACATACTAAAGTTAGATTAAGAACAGATGAATCTTAAGAACTACTATAATATTAAGAAACAAAATAAAGACTTTCACATTAAATAGATATTCATCAAATAATAAATGAGACATCTCCAATTAAAATTACACCTAGACTTAATTATGAAAATTTTAAGACATTTTAAGAAACTGAAAGAAAATCATATGAATCAAATAATTATAATACACATTTAGCTAATTTTGGTCCTTTATCTTCAAATCAATGTGAAACAGATGAAGAAATATAATAGATTTCATAATAAAGTGTTTAAAAATTATCAAAATTTAGAACTTTTGAATAGGAGTAATTTTAAAAATGTTTTGTTTAAATTAGTTCTTAAATTGAAAAAATTAATATAAAATTCAAAAAGTAGGGATTCTTAATGATTAAATTATTTTCTAAATGGACTTTAAAAGAAAAGGCTACAAAAATGTATTTTAGATTTTTTGAACATAAAATTTAATCATATTTTGATTTGTTTTAAATTTATGAACCATCAATAGAAGAAAATAATTATGACAATCAAAATACAAATTAAAGTATATTATCAGAAAATGTTTTGACTCCAATTAATTTGAACATTTAAAATTTTTAAATCCCTACACTTAAACCTGTAACTTAATTTGGTGCAATAAATGTAATATATATAATTATAATTTAATATAGTTTGAGGAGTATTTGAAAAAGAAGAATCAGAATATTGAATGAATGTTTAATATTGATTTACTTAATTTATTAACAAAATATAAAATTTATTCAAACAAAAATAAAATTCAAATAATCCAATTAGATCCATCTTCGAAATATTTTTATATTAGTTTATTATGGAATCTTGGATATTCAAAATATTATTCATATTCAAAGATATTTTATTTATTTGGATACAAACATTTAAATTGACCAAGTCTTAATTATTCTTCTAGTGATTGTATCATCACATCTAAATCTGCTTAATTTACTTTTTATCTAAAATTTCTTGAATTTATTGATTAAATTTCATTGATATTTCTTTCAAATAGTCTCTTTTTTATCTATATCCTAAAAGCCTTTTTATAATAATATTCAATTCCTATCAAATGTAACATATCTGATATCAATTAAGTTTTTATTTAAGCATCTAATTCTGATGCTGAATTTAATGAAGGACTTACATTCACTTCTAATAACCAAGGTTTTAATGTTTCATCTATTAATATATCAAATCCAAATAATTCAAAATAATTATTTTTATGTTCAGAAGCTAATAATTATATAAAAATATAATTACTTTTTCCATTTCTATCAAGTAAAAGAGGTTCAGCAGCAATACAAGTTTTCAATACTACATCTTAAATTGATTTAAATAATATTTTATGATTAATACCTTAAGCAATTAATTATTATTTATATTCTTTATGTGACCACTTTGAAGCTTTTACTTATTATTCCATATCTTAATTATTAGCTATGAAATTGGGAGATTATTTATTAACTGAGAAATTAGTTAAATGTATGAATCTCTTTTTAATATCTGAACTTTTTAGTGAATATTCTTATGTAGCAAATCTGACCAATCCATCTTTATACATATAAACTCTTAAAGGATCAATTGATGTAATCAAAACATAAACTCTAAGATCATATTTAAAATTATTAATTAAATGAGGATTGGATATATAATCCATTACTAAATATCTTTTATCTGCAGTCAATTTAGTTTTCTTATTGATTAATTTTATTCCATTTCCTCTAGCACTAGCAACTGGTTTTTTAATCCATAATGTTTTTTTTGGAGCACACTCTCTTACTCCTTCAAATCTCTCAAAATCATATTACAATAAATAAGTGTTTGGAATAAAGTAGTATTCTGTTGGAAATTTTCTTTTAACTTTAGAAAGATGAATCCATAAATTATCCTTTCTTCCTACACTCCAACAACCAGGAAAATGATTTGTTTTTTAATATTTCTTCATTTCTTTTAAAGTTTCTTTACTAGCTATTCCCCAATAAATTAACCAATTTTCTTCATCACTTCTTTCAAATCCAGCAGCCTCAAAAGCACTTAAAATGCATTTGAATGGCACCTATCCTTAGAGCTTATAATATAGTGGTTTTTTGATCTGCTCTACTAAAAATTGTTAAGATCTTGTTTATTGAAGCATTTCTTAAATATCATATAATTGTACATGGATATGGAAAATAGATAGTATATACATGAGGTCTATAAGGAGATTGCCAAACAAGCTAAGATTATTATATACTAGTTGTAGTTGATGGTTCCATCAAAGAACAATCTATTTCTAAATTTCTCTCAGTCAATACTTTATTAGTACAAGTATCAGTTTATGAGAATATTTATTTTTGCTTTATATGTCTAGTTATTAATGATCGGTTGCGTATTTTTGGTTGTTTTTAAATGACTTTGATAGTATTATTTTATGATTATGATTAAGATGTAGCTCTAGAATGAATAGTTAATGAAGATGTAGCTAGAGGGGCATAAACAGTTTATACTTTTCTACTCTCTATCTATACCCTTTTTTACATTTTATTAATTAAAATAAAATCATTAATTTTTTAGCGATGACGGTGTATGCCATGGTAAATCTATATTATATAATCGTTTAGTAGAATTGGAAGAACCATAAAATACAGTATTTTAATTCTTTTTATCTTATTGTTCATTCTCAAATATTTCTATTTCTTCATCTAATATTTATGGAATCTAAAATATATATATATATATTAATTAACCTTAGTTTAAGATAATCTTGGTTTCTAATGTTCTTGATTACTAATTGCTGTAATAGGTCTTGAAACTTTAGTATATGTAGGCATTACTAAAGCAGTTGATGGTCTCAAAGATGTTTAAGATTAAACTGCTAATTTCCCACTTGTATTTTTTCTCATTGATGCCTTAGTACTAACTGCACTTGATGCTCTTTATAAATATTCAGTCATAAAAGCTGGATCTTGCATCATTTTTTTATGTTATTAAACATCTAATCTAATATCTTCAATAGCTTCAGATATTTATATTTTTTATGTTTATTTTTAAAATTAAGGATGTTCTTTTAATTATTTAATTGTAGGTATGCTTTTCCTTGATTCCTCTTATTATAATTATTTATTATGTTAACCACTTTGAGATTACAAAAATTCTTTTGAACCTGCAAATTCTTCTAATAGTTATACTCTCAACATCTTTCCATTTAATTTAGAATGATTCAAAATTTATTAAGCATTTTTTAATTTAGATTTGATTTCAACATATAATTCAGGATCTCTTAATAGTTTTTTAAATTCGCCAATACCAGCATCTTTATTTTTCAAAAATTATTAATGTTTTTATGTCCTTTTTTGAATGTAATATTCATTTCTATCTTTTAAGGATCTTCCCTTAAAAACAGCCTTATCCATATTGTATTGATAATTCATATAATGTTAAATTTTGGCATCTGGATTCTTGGCAGTTTTATATCCAGTTTAATCAACTACATAGAGATTATCCTAAAATAGTGTAATAATTAAACCATTTTTGGATCTCTAGTAAGATCCATTTTAGTTTTAGGAATTTTCTCATAATAAGCCCATCTGTCAACTGTATTGGCCATAAGGTAGAGAAACTCAAATTCTTAAATGAAACCTTTAATCTAAAGAAAATCAGTGCATCTCTTTATCCATTCTTCCAAAACACTACTACTTATAGCTTTTCCTATTGCCTGAAATGAAAATAATGAGAAAATGAATATACCCATAATAAATTGTTAATTTCAGTTGCATTACATGGTACACCTTCACTCATTAATTCTTATTCTCTAAGATGAAAAATAAGACAAGCATCTTTGATATCCTTCATTCTAGATAAAACAATATGTGATTACGTAAGAAGTCCATCATGATAAAGTTAAATGGCTGCTTTGATGTTGCGAACATTAAGATGTGTTAAACGTCCATTTAGGAACTGTAATAGAGAATAAGTGATATACCCTAGGAACTTCATGTAAAAATGAAAGAGATCTAAAAGTTGAGTAAATAGTTTAGATATCAATTTTGATCTTTTCAACTATCTAAATTTAATGTTCTTGTTCAAGGATTTGAACAACCAAGAAAAAGATAGGTTACATCTACATATAATCTGATATGAGCATTCTTAGATCTTCGTATTTGATTTAACCTCTTGCACTAAATTCACTTTAAATTCCATATATTGTAAATTCTTCTAATTGTTATGCTTCAGTCATTTATTTATAAATAATTTAATTAATCCAAATGGACAATGAATAGAATAATTATTAGGCATTCGATATTGAGATTGTAGATACTGAACAATAAAAAATTGATCATGCAAGATTAAGTTTCATCAGAAAGGTAAGATATTGCCTAATGAGGTATTTCTAATAATCTTATTTCAAATTGGATTTAATTTCATTACTACATTGATAGCATATTCTTAAAATCCAATAATTGATTACCTATGCAGCAAATCAATCTTATTTTGGATATTTATGGTTGTATTGATATTAGTAATATTTTTGCTAATAAGTTTTTAAAAGTAAGTTTACATGTAAATCAAGATTAGCCAAACAATATCCTTATAATTTTATCTGTTATAGTTGTTTTACACTCTCCATCTCATACATATTTTTATATACTACTCATCATTATCCTACATACTCAAATTAGATCATTTCATTCATAACATTATAAATTGGCATCATCATATCACTCCTCACTTATTCCTACTTTGTAACATCAGAAATCAATCTAAATAAAAGTTTAATATACATTATTATCACTATTGCTCTGTTATTCATTTTCTTTTTCTTCTACTTCCAAATGTCTTTGAAATATTTATTAATTTTGTCATTCCTCAACATCTTGTATGGAGTGCATATCATCATAGATACACTTCTTATTGTAAATGGAGAAGTAAGAAAATGATAATTATAATTAGAAATATGAATTAGATATAGATGACTATATTATTGCAGCCTTAATGACACAAGTTGACATTATTGGATTCATTTAAATACTTTTTCAAAAATTGATTTCATAATTATCAAAGATATAAATCAACAGTAACTGATAATATAAACAATCATTAATTTCTAGTATACTATTGTTTCCATTCTTCACATTCTCTATTCTTCATCTCTATCTAATATCTCAAAGTTCTATTCTCACTTTCTAATATTTCAACCTAAGATTCCATTTATCTTTTAATCTATTCAATCTGAGATCTCTTAATTTCTTCTTTTACTTATTCAGATACATCTTATTATTTTTGTATCTCAATCAATTTTTATTTTTAACATTCCAAATCCACTTATAATCTTTATATTAATAACTAATTATTAAATTAGAATTACATTATTCTCATTATTTCTTAATGCTAATTATCCCTTTTATTATCTACATTCATCAAATTCATTTGATCTCTATTCCAATAATTCAGACAATTAATTTACTTATTCATTTAATTATTCAATATCTTAATTTTACTCTTATATATCATTTTCATATTGTAATTACAATGAATCATAATCATTTTAAACTTAATTTAATTAAGATGTTGTAGTTTATTAATGTTAATTCAAATTATCTATTGCAATTTATAATTCTTAATTCAATTACTAATTTTATTATAATTGATTTTAAGTTTAATCCAATTATTAATTTACTTTTTATATCTCTTACAATAATTTATTAATCTATTATTAATATTC